TTAAAGTGAAAAAAAAAAAAATGACATTTCATTAAAATCTACCCTCTATCATAACCCAAGTACAAACAAATATGTAATTACATACAAAGACTAGCACTGCTGATGACTAAAGAATTATATAGCAAACTTGTTTGTTATGGGTCTGATACTGTTGAAGTTCAGAAACAAAGTTCTTATGATCTGAATCTAGTCAATTGTTCTTATAAGGAGCTGCAAAGTTGTCATTGCGTTTGCTCTATTGAAGATGAGACGGAGAAGGAAAGGAAGGTGCAGGTGGCATGGTCACAAGAAATATGCATATTTGGCTGAGAACAATATATTACCTGGCATATGTTGCTGGCATATATAGCTGGCATATGTTGAGATCCCACCCTTGGGACATTGTGGCTGCATGCATGAGTAGAGGCAGGGAGACAGGCAGAGAGAGAGGGGCTCGTGGCTCAAAAGTGGTGAGAACGGCCTGAGACCCAGAATGGCATATGAACATTATTGAAATCAAAATACTTCGTTTTCTAGAAGACCTAAATGCGATTGAGTGAAATTAGAAGCAAAATGTAAAGTGAAAATGCAGTCAGTTGCCTGTAGGAAGAGGTGATTAGTTGTGAAGTTTGTGAACACTTGCCTCTGCTAAAAATACTCTTGATGTAATTTTCTAAAGCATTTCTTAGGATAATAAAATGACTGGGCTGATTGTCTTTTATTGTACAATGCCTACATTTTTTCAAATTTATTTCAGTCATCAATTTAATTGATTGTAGCTAATTTTTGTTAGTATTCTTATTTCACAACACTTGTATAAATTTAGATGGAGTTGGATGATGTGAAATCATGATCGCTTCCAAGCACGAATTCTTATTGGTTACTGTGTCTTCATGTGTATACGGAGATTTTTTGTAGGAAATTCGAAATACATTCATTTTTCAGATAAAAGTGTTCAGTGTTTTAATTTAATAATTTATAATGTGTTTTGTATAAATATGTAAGTAGTTTAAGTGTAGATCAGAATTGTGTTAAATTGGTATTAGTATTTCCTTGATATCACAGTATGTGTGTCTATGGGTAAATAAGTATAAAAGTATAATAAAATATTTTAAGCATTAAAATGCTTATATGCTTTTTGTTTTCCTTTCCTTTTTCCATTTGAATGATTATTTGTATTCCTGGTGTTGTACATTGTATTACTGTTGTGTATCATAGGAATTGAGAATTCAGTTTTTAATGCTGCTGTAAGAATTACAGTGAAGACATAATTAAAAAAGAATAATTTGATAATTTCTGCATTTGGAATTTATAGCAGCAGCAGTGGTTTGTAGATTACTGTAGGAAACTATTGTTAACTCTATTATATGAGATAATAAACTGAAGGAAGAACAGATTATACTGATTTTTTTAAAAATATTTAAATGGAGAAATTTATATAGAAATATAAGAATCAGATGTCTTTTCTGGTCAAGGTATATTATAAGCCTAAAATTAAGGAGCCGTGATATACTCACATAACCACGACCTCATTAAATTTATTGAGCTTTGTGTAATGTGTGATTGTGCACATTTCATTTTCCTATATTTGCTTTTCTTTTAATTGTGGATTATTATTCATTATTATTTACTTTGTTTTATTTAATTTTGGGTTTTTTACAATATATTTTGCTTTATTTAATTTTAACTTTACAGTTTCTTGTTTAGATGCATTAACAGATGGTGATGAGTGCTTGAAATAGCCATCTGGTTCAGCAGCAGAATGGTCAATCTTTTGCAAAGTAGCACTTTTGTTTTTATTGTGGAGAAAAGTACTAGAGTTACTGAGTGTTGATCGTCTGGATACTGGTGCAGGTTCAAGCTTTGATACTGTTGCAACAATTGTTTTGTTAATTCCTGCAACAACTTTCTTATCATTCACACGGTGAGCTTGACCTGATAACATCATGTTTTTCTGCTGTTCTGTGTTTTGAATAATTCTAGAAGTTGTCCCAGACCTAGCAATGTATGTCAATTCTTTTTTCCTGTTAGCAACATTATAATGAGGAGGTCTTGTAACTTTCCTGTCTTGAAATTGAGAGAATGATGACAGTCGTGAGATCTTGTTGTGAAGATAAAATTTGTTCTGAAAATAGTAAAATTACTTTACATTAAAAAGTATAAAGCTATCAAACTATTTGAGATGTCAGATATTCTTACTTGGAAAAATCTTTGCCATCCCCAAATTCGAACTTGTGACTTTTCTTCTTTTGATAATTCTCTTCCACGATAGTCTCGTTTATATAATTGCATCCATAGATCATCATTTGTTGATATCTTTGACAAGAAAGGGAATGTAACACTATCTCGAATTTCATTAGTTTTTTTTATTAGTAATTAGTTTATTAGTTATAATAGTTTTTGTTTTTTTTCATTTTATTTGTTATTTATTGGCCATTAACTCTGATAGAAATATAATACTTAAAAAAAACAACAACTGAGTTTGTTGATGTTTCCACAAATTTTACTGTTTTTTAATTTATTTTATGATATCAAGTACATATCAGTACAGATGATGTCGAATCTATCACCCCTCCCCCTTTGATGTGATTTGTTAAATTATAGTGATATGTTTATTAATTATTTTAATCAAAATTTCATCTCTTAACCAATTAATATTTTAATACAATTCTATTGATTGTAATATTTGTATTGATAAAAGATTCCACTTACTTATAGATGTATTTATGTTATATTAATAAAAGGTTCCATTTATTTATAATTGGCAATCAGTCACATCAAATAAAATTAAAACACATTATATTGGTTTATCTCACCATTCAGTATAGGTAAGTTAAGAGAAAGATTGATAAAATTAATTATAATTATCAGTATAAAGAAAATATTGTGTCATTTTCTTTGTCAGAATATTTTCATATCTGACGTAAGATATGAGTGTTGCATCTAAATCACAAAATTAAATACTTCCAAGTAAAATCTAAAGATAAACAGTTATCCCCTGATTTATGAGAAGACAGAGAAACAAGTACAACCATCACTTCAATAAAGTAAAATCGAAGACACATTTGACAACTCTGTAAACATAGTAGAAAAGAGTGAAACCAAATCTCCCCACTAGGGAAGCAGTTAATTCACCTTTCACAATTAGGACAATGGCACATTGTAGCAGTGAAATATAATATTATTTATTACCTCATTTATACTGTATATTCATACAGATTAAAAAAAGAAACAAAAACACTTTGTGTTCTCATTAGGCTTGGCAGATCACATCATAGAGTAACTATTTGTCTCAACTTACACGTGGTTTGCTTATCTAGTGAATTGGGAACTATCACAAAATTAGTAGGCTTGTTTATTGAGTCAGGATTTTAAAAAATTTCTTATCAGTATATGTACTTTAACTTAGAATAGATGTCAATAATGTATTACTCATATTTATTATTTATATTCATGACCTTATTATCATACTTACCATATTTGCTAATCTTTTACATGTCGAAGCTACTGCTGCTATGTCGGTTAATCGTAAGAAGCTAAATACACGTATTAATATTGAGAAGGGCAAAACTGAAAAGCAGTCACAGTTTCCATTTGCTATGTCTATTATACTTAAAAGAATTTCTTTACCTTAAAACAGAACACAAAAAATTTCATTTATATTATTTTTAAAACATTTTAAAATTGTTAATAAAAGCATTAATTTTATTTTTATATAATTAGTTTGAACAGTAAAATTACCCCTACCAAATATGTATTCAGTTTCATCTTGTAGTGATGGATCAGATACAAATCTCTCCAGCTCAAAACAACGCACTGTAGGAAAAAGGCTTCTAGAACGAGAAATTTTCCAGTGATACATAAGTACCTACAAGAGAAAACCGCAATAAAGCACATCCTTTTAATTCATTACGATTCTTATTGGAACATTCTGTGTTTCTTGTATTCATTGGTGTGTTTGGAAAGAAAATGAGTGACTTGAAAGAACATAACACATACCTTGGAGGGAGACACTTTTATTCCATAGTAATCTCTGCTTGGAGCAGGTGCTACTGTGTACTTTTCCAATATTACACATTCTAACTCTGCTCTGACTCTCATTATGTCAAAAATATTTTAATGGGGTATAGCAAGAATGATTGAAATTCCATTCATAGTTAGTTCTTCAGCTTGTAAATAATTTTGAACAAAGGAACTCTCTACCATGAAATTGATCTTCATGTGTTTCTGATAGTTTTTTTTTGTTTTCACACTTGTTTTATTCAATAATTATGTTCAAAATAAAAGAGAATTCTTTTTTTACTTTCATGGGAGGGATACAGCTTTCTACAAATGAAAATGAATCCATTTTTGTTTTAATTTTCAACAGTTGTTAGAATAATTTATCGGAATTTAAATGTGCCAAGAAAATATTGTAAATGTGAACACTGCATTACTTTTTTTGTTTTGCACTAAAAAAGAAGCTTCCATGTATTTTCATTAGATAAAAATTGTGTGGACTTAATGGAAATAACACTTCATAACTCTCGAAGACAAAATCATCATGAAAATGTGTTAACTGTAGAAAGTATTTATTTTTCGTAAATCATTTTACTTATATGATGTTTTATTGCACTTCATTTTCAAACATTGAAGATAATATTTGAAATCTTTGCTGGAGGCAAACCTGGAGAGGATGTTAAAGAAATGAAGGGTATAAGGGGTATTTTGATGAACAAGTGTAAAAGTAACATTAAAAAAGATATTTAATAACATTAGCTACAGCCACAAAGTACATAAATGTATTCAGTATAAAACAAAATTTTGCTTCATTTTTCATTTAGACAGTTTTTAAAAGCATGGTGTGAATGAGGTTTACACTCCTTTGGAGAAATAAGAGAAATAAAAAATTAAGCTCATTGAACAGAATGTAAAGTTCGAAAGCAACACAAAAGTGTTTACACATTTAAATTAGAAAAGACTAGTAGGAAATTTCATAAGCATGTTTTTACGCATTTTGTGTGACTTTTCCTGCTGGTAAAACACACACAAAAGAAAAATGCTGATATTGAAGGTTTTTTTTTTTTTTTTTTTTTTTTTTTTTTTTTTTTTTTTTTTTTTTTTTTTTTTTTTTTTTGTTCACATCATTTGTTCATGCATTGTTTATTCTGTTCTCTAACCTATTAAAAATTAAATTATAAAAATAATAAATAAAATACAAATTTTTGTATATCAGACTTCAAATTAAAATGCTTATCATACATGTACTTATTAGTCATGTGTATCCTAATTGAAAACTGGAAGTATAATTTTATTTATTTTTATTATAAATGTCAGGTCACAGTTTCAGTCTGTCTCGTGCTAAGCAGGAAACTAGAACCTAATCAGTCTTTGAGAGCAGCTGTGACTTTTTGTCCTGTCGTGTGATGATATGTGGCTCCATTGCTCAGTCTTTCAATAATTCTTGAATTCCATTGAATTATTCATAGTCATTAAAACTAACGTTTAAACAATATTAGTTTACAAATATATTTCAATTTTCCTTGTGCACTGCCATCTGAACATGTCTCACAATATTATGTAATAAAGACAGTTATCACACTTTACTGACAAAGAGTATATTCCTATCTTTTGAGTTCTTATAGATCACAAATTTCAAAAAAAACTTCAACATTTAATCAAGGTTTGTTGAAAAGTGTAGATAATTCTCATATATGAAACAGGAAGTGAACATATTGATTGTATTTAGAAATGAAATATGTTTATATCATATAAATGATACTCTTATTTCCTTTTCTAACAGCAAATTGAAAATGCCTCAAAGAGATGTATGTACTATAATAGTAATGAATTGCTCAGAGACAATTTTCTTCAATTAGTAGTACTGAATTAAAAAAAAGTTTGTGGTAATTTTGTAATCATATTTCATTACATTTAAGTAACTTCATTAAAACCATTAAATTCATTATACAAATAAATTTTAGTAATTTGTTTAATTTATTAAAACACTGGTAAGAAACACCAAAAAGAAAGAACATTATTATTTTAAAACTTAAGGAACGTCACATTGGTATCAAATGAAGAGATTTGTGATTTATAAAAAAGTGTAACCTTCCTGAAGAAGATACGAGAAAAATACACTGGCAATACAATAAAAGGCATATTCATTTGCTTCTCAAATATAGTACATAGCATGAAATTATCAATATTCTAAGAGATTCAGATGAATATCATTTAATTACTAAAAAATACTTCATCTAAGAACGTACAATTCATAAATAATCACATTTTCCTTCCTTCATGGCAAAAGGTATTTCATTTAAATTTTCTGATGAAATGTTATTTTCTTACATAAAAATCCTAACTTATATAAATCAAGAGTAAATGTTGAAAAATATTAATTTATAATATTTTAAAAGTAAATTTGTGTAATCCAGTATGTAAATTTAACTTTTTACTGAATTTTGTTTCTGTTGTAGGACTCACGAAAATATTACCAATATTCAGAAAGTGGTGTACAAAAATTTTTTATTACATTTACTGAAGAAAGTTCTTTTCATTTAAGAATTTCTAAAAATAATTTCTGAAGGAACACTTCATAGAGTCATGACATTTTTTCTGTTAGTCCATCGCAGTGTACAAAGCTCAAAAAGAAAGGAACTATGTAGGTCATGTTAGGACATATTAAAATCACAGCTAATAGGCTTGGTCTGAAAATGAGTTATCAGCATATGATTTTTCAGACACGACAGCACTGAATGCGATCCAATGTCTTGTCAATGGCACGAAGTCGCTTTTCTAAAGAGGTAGTGGCAAGAATGGCTACTTGCAAACGAGGTGACAATGGCAAGATAGCCAATAGCCACCAGGCCCAAGCTGGCCCATCAGGTGGACAACAATAATCGCCAGATTCTTGTGCAGGCATGTGACCAAAGGCTCTCTCTACTTCAGCTCTTGCATTGGGAGGCATACTTGCTACCCATCGTTGTCCCTTACATCTCACTTTTTCAGCCAATTCTTTCACACCTGGAATAATAAATGATATTATGGAAAATGGAATATATTCCAACTAAGTAACATTCATGAGTTCAGAAAAATTCATGAATATGTGCAAATATTGAAAATATATTTAAGTTAGCAAGAAAAACGCCAATGAAATAATGAGATAATGTGTCTTACTCCAAAGTGACCATTTATTTTCAAATAAAAAACAATAAGAATTTTGTTTTCTTAGAGGCCAATATTTGTCACTTTTAAAGGATATTATTGACAATTGAATAGATACACCAATTGTTAAAAAGCTGAAAAGATTTTATTTGAGTAATTAGCACTGACATTGAAAGGGCCTTAAAAGCACTCTCTGACTATTTCTTGTTGCAGCAATCTCCAACAAGATTTGTGAAAATGTATATTCTGAATTGATGGGTTAAATTAAAAATAATCAAAAGTACTACTTTGTACAAAAATAGCCAAAAATATTGAAGGGAAAGTTTTCAATCAATTCATGGAAAGACATTCCTGAAGACAGCAGCTCTGCTTATGCCAGCTTTGTTTAAATCTTCAACGTATTCCGGGAAAAATTAGCTGCTGTTGTCTTAGAATGAAATACAGAAATATTTCCTTCCGTTTGAATCTACATGATGATTTTAAATATATTTTTTTGGAAGAGTTTTAAAATTCTGCAACAAAGTTTCACAAATCATCTGTTGTAGATATTCACAGAACTCAAAAGAATGAGAAATAATACAAAGTACATGTTTAATAATATGTGAATTCATAAATATGAAAATAATTATGAAATAATAAATGAATTCATAAATATAATGTGATAGTGATGAAACCAGAATCTAAAAGAACTCATATTCACATATTGTTTAATCACTTTTCTAATGACTCATTCTACTCATATACACTGTCTCAAAATTTATTAACATAAAAGATATGCTCAAGGAGAAGGTTTAAAAAAATGACTCTTTGTTTTGTTGCAATGACATTATTTTATTTTAAGTAAGAGAGGATTTATTGCTTTTTTTAGTAAAAAATGTAAGTTTATATTAATACTTGAAAGGCATACAAAATTCTTACCTGGACCTGATGGCCTGTCCCTGAGAAGTTCAACTCTTGCAGTAAAATATCCATCTCTTTCTGCTCGAGCTATAACTCTAAATCGTCTTGCTCCTACTGCAGTGAGCAAAGAGCAACCATCAGGGAGTCTCAGCCAGTCTCGCACATCAAGCAAAGTGCCTACATCCACAAAACCATGTCCTCCTTCAGAACCTGCTGCCATTCCAAATACACGACCTCCAGTTTCTACACATCGTCTCACAAGCAGTCTGTATCGAGGTTCAAATACATACAGTGGACAGGGAACACCTGGCCATGCCACAGTACATACAAATACTGGCACATGAGCTGGCGCTGCTAGTTCTGCTCGTGCTGATAGTTCACGAGAGTAAAGTGAACTTGCAGGCAACATTAGCTCAAGGATAGCTTTTAATGCTACAGATATGCAGCGGGATGAAGATAAGAGCTGAAAAATAGAAGATGAATGTTAAGGTTTAGTGTTAAAAAATTAAAAGTTGTAATAATAAAGAGAAGAATAAACAGTACTGAAGTACTGGAATGGACTATTTTTTGTGTAGGTATTAAGTAATATCATAATGAGTAATAATGAGGGAAATTTGAAACTTCCTTTGTGATTAAGGTTAAGAAACCTACAAATAACTTATTACAAATTAATTACTGCAACAATAGCTTTATATAATTGTGCATCATAAGGAAGTAAGTAGTAAGGCCAAAGAAACAGGATACTAGTTCAAACAATTTTATATCACTCGTGCATGTAAATAATAATGTGCCACCACTTTGAAAATCTTTATTCATGAAGTGGATGTTGTGGATCCAAATGATTAATATAGGCTTGTTCGTCCGTAATGTCATGACATGTAATTAATTATCAGAAGATGAAATAATTGACTTTTTTTTAAAAAAAATATTGTATTTTATTGAGTCTTGGAGAGAAATAATAATCACCTTTGACAAGTATAGTTAGGTGCAAATTTTAGAGGATCTCTTTTTACCTCTCTTGGTGTGACTTTAACTTGTGCGAGTACAAGTTACGAAGACTTACTATTTTTAAGCATGTAACTATTGTATGGATACTGGGATTACAAGAAATACTGGGATTACTGAAGCTATGCTTGCCTTCTTTATTTCCAAATTCATCATTCAAACACTTACATCATGAAGAGGTGCCATACACAGAGGGCAGGTCGCCGTATGGTCCAGACATCGATCAAGACATCCAGAACAAAAGGTGTGTCCACAAGGAGTTGTCACTGGCTTCCATAAGATTCTGCTACACAATATGCAATCAAAATCTGCTTCTTCAATCCCAGGGGGAAGGCTGGGGGGGACCACTAGGATCTCGTTGCTTGATTTGCTTTCCAAACCTAAAGAAAATGGTTTTTATTACTTCAAAGAATCACAGAATTGTAATTGGTGTTATAAGTGAATTTAAAAATGTATTACGTTTGAGACGAGTAATTTCTTTGGAAATCCAATTAACAAGTAACTGCAAGTGCACTTCAGAAAGAGAACACAGCTGTCCTAAACCAGCCTGAAACATACATCATCCATTCAATGCTGTAATTGTATAATGAAATTTGTAAATATACATTATTCTAATATGATTTTATTATAATAATAACTATGGGATAATGAGGGAGAAATAAAATTTTTTGAAAGATACAGAATGATATTAACAATATAAATGCTTGTATTTATTTACATGTTTATTTCATTGTTACTACCATGTATAAAACAAAAATTAAAAAGATTTTGCACAATTTTTTAATCGTCATCATCATTTCAGAGAGTGATATCAACGAAAATTGGACTTATACCATTTTTATAAGCATCTTTCACTTTATATGATATATAAAATAAGAAAAAAATTGGAAAGAATTGTGAAAATGATGGGGATTTGTGTACTGTAGTCTCAAAAATTAGAATATTAGTTTTGAATTCAAGATACCACAACATCAGCCAGATCAATCAGAAAATATCAATTTCGTTGAAAATTCTGTGAAGGGATTAGGTGATAAAGTTGTTCACAGGCATAGGTTTTGTCATAAACAAATTTTTCGGTATCAAGGACCCACAACAATGTGGACTATACAACATAGTAGAAATAGTTTCCTATGAACAAGGAAGAGAATTATCCACATTCTCAGTGTCAAGGACTCATAAAACTGTTTATGGTGGAAAATTGCCAGTTTTGCTGCAGCTTTTCTTAATTTTCTCTACACTTACTAGTATGCAAGAAAGTAACTAGTAGTGCTATAACAGCACAGGGTTTCTTGCATTACTTCTACATTTGCAAATTTTGAAAATTTAGAGAGTTCAATGAAAATGATACTTTCATCATTCCTTTAAGTTTACCTTGTTCGGTCTGGTAAAAAAATAAAAACAAATAAAAAAATGGAGTGTGTTTTGAGAAAATGTTTTTATATAAATTGTATTAATTTCAAGCACAAGTTACACATAAACTACAGGTTTTTCCAACAATTGTATATGAATTTTCTTTGAAAGTTGTATATGAGCAGAGATTTTAGAACTGATTTTGTTTCAGACAAAAACCTGTATCTTCTATTTTGTAGTATTGAAATGACCATCCGAGGTCAACGCTAGCACCTAAACCATTCAGCTGATTTTCTTCAGAATCAATAATCCCTAATCAATCTGAATTAACTGACTGCTTAATTACTAGTGATTCCGGGTGCATCAATGGCTAAGGTCGTTAGTCCCATTGGAGTAGTGCAGGTTTTTCTTCAGGAGGCGGCGGTGATCTTCCCCCGCTGCATGACAAGATCTAGCGCCGCCCCACTGTCAGCTAGCGGGGTTTTCCCTAACCAAGTATCTTCCGTTAGCAGGGCACTGCCCCACCCGGGACAGACTCTAAGCTCCTGACTGGTCTTTGGGCATGTGTGATAGTGTGGTGCATGGAAGTGTTAAGTGTGTGCGAGGGGTAGGGTAGGACAAGGAAGAGGAAGGAAAGGTCACGCATGGTCCATGGCCTGTTTGTTAGGGTTCTGTTCCAGCATTTGCCTGGTATTGATTGGAAAAATCACGGAAAACTACCAATAAGAGCAGCCAGCCAGCATAATTCTCCTCCGGATACCCACTGAACTCGACCTAGCTATCTGGCTACGATCAATAATCCTGCCACTGTCAGAACTCAAACCCCAAGAACTTCCAGTCTGAATGAACTCAAGGCTTTGGGAAATTCCAAACAGATATTTTGAGGGTACTGTACATGATGTTTTAAAAACATTTTCAAATTTTTCTAAAAAATGGCACCAAATTTGTGATAAACTTTGTCTTTGGATAGCATAAAGGACACTTAAGAAAATAATGCAGGTTTCATGTTTGTTGAAACCCCACATGGTTTGAAAATTGCAGAAGTGCAATATTTTGGAGCATCTTCCGACAACTACAATATTAATGATTGAGATTTTTTCCTTATTTAAATGTTTCTTGAAAATGGGTCTTTAAATAGGTTTGTTCATTTTGTCAAAAATATGAGTAGTTTTTGTGTAATTTGGTTCAAAACATAGGCAACTAAAAAAAACTAAACCTTTTTCTCAAAAAACGCTTCTAATTTTTTCCACCGATAGGAGGAATGCATAAAAAATGTTCCCATTTTCAACAAGATTTTCTCAAAATATTTAGCAATTTTTACTTTAAACTTTTTGTACAGATACTGCTAACTGCATAAGGATTAACATGTCATAATTTTAATTTTGATGTATATTTGTATTGCATTTGATTTTCCGAAAAATACAAAAATATATATTCTTGATATATCTCTCATGTCATTGATATTTACAATTTTCTGTATACGTATAGAGTAATACATTTAGTGTACAGGAAGTTATCAGTTAATAAGTAACATTATGTTATTAGTAAGCTGTTTAAGCACGACTAGTTATACATGTGAACAAAGTTTCGCATTTTGCATTCTTACCTGAATGAGGGTGTGTGGACATGGCATTCCTGCTGGATTTGGCGGTGCTTGACCCGCAGAAAGTGCTACAGCTAGAAGTAATGATGTAAGGGCTTCCTGCGGTCGGCATGCTAGTAACAAGCAGCATCCTCGCCAATAATGACCCTGTAAATAACGAATGCTTCTTTAAAGTTCTATTTACAATAATATGCCCTAACTTTCAAAAATGAAGGGAAGTTCACTGTTGTAGGTGACTGAATGAACAAATTACTCATTTAAAAAAAAGTTACGGGACAGGTGCCTTGCGAACGTACAAATCATCTTGCGCACGTGGCGAATACTAATTATTAACACATCGAATGCGAATGATGTTCCACACTTGCTTCACGATGTTTCGCGCACGGTTCGTAATGTTTCGCACACTATTAGTTAGAATGAAAAACTTGCAGTTTTTTTTGTGGAAAACATGCACGAAAAACCAGATTTGGTGAAAGGTATTATTATTATTATTATTATTATTATTATTATTATTATTATTATTATTATTATTATTATTATTTTTTAAGCACTCACCCGAGACCATGATGGAAGTATGTGTCTCAATTTGTCGGCTACAGCAAGAGCTTCTCGGTGACGGTCCAGCAAATGTAAAGCATGGCACCGCAAGGACAGCAGAAGGGGGCTTGTTTCCATTTCTGAGTCATCTGGGGAGGAAAAATAATGTCAATAAGAATAATATGATATTTATTTATAGATATAATCTTAATTATTTCTTATTTCAGCCTGGGCGCATCCAGTGAGATCAGTTACTTATCTTAACTGTAACCTTAAAAAATCTCTAATAGAACACTTTATTTCCAAATTAGAGAATATAACGTTTTCCAATTTAATAAAGGTTACTCTAATGACAAAAAATTCGTAAATATGTCATTTTTTAATGATAAATAATTCTTGATATTATTAACATGAGTATTATTGATGGCAAAGAATTTCGTAACCGGTAACATAACGTAACGATCCGCGGATTCAAATCTGTCCTCGGTCGCAGAAATCTGGAGAGACAAGAAACCCATAAATCATGCCTTTCTTCAGAAGGGAAATAAAGAATTCCATCCCATGTCGAACGTTTACGGCATGAAAAAGAACCTCGAGCTTAAAAGTCGTGTCTGAGCAAATATAGCGTATCTCTTCCGAAGTCTTTAATTCATTAAGCACATATTTAATACGTCATTAACTCGTTAGTTCGTAGGCAGATTGCATTAAAATGGATAATTTTGGGATCGTCTAATCTTTTAAGAACAGACTTTTTACATTAAATAAGTAATATATCAATAAAAACATTAGTAAAAGTAAACATAGTAAACATATTTTGAAAAATCACACTAAGTTTCGTAAAAAAAAGAATCATAATAAAACACACAATTCTATAATATTTCCCGTTTTACTTAGAAAACTTGAATTCACATTGTACTTTTTGAGCACTAGGATTCTTAGTACAATTCTGTTCAGAAATACGTGAGTATTATTTGTAGCCACTTATTTTTTTCTTTATCGATATTTCCCTCAGCTATAAAAAATGTATGTCTGACTGTGCGACAATATACCACCCCCACTCCCCTCTGCCCCCTTCGGCACCAATGACGTGAGTATTCCCGAGAAACTCGGCTACTGAAAGGATGTCCCAATCCTTATCCAGCACTAGAACCGAGGACCTAGCACCTCCTTGGAGGCATGGTTTGTGTAGGCAAAGGTTTGCTACTGAGTTGGACCGCTCTAGAATAATAACCAGCGAATCACTCATGCTCCACTTACAAATACACATGCCATCATACTTCACAATCACACACCTACTCACACACTAGACGCGATTTTTTCAGAGAAGATATCACTTGTAATCTACACCCGCGCACAGCACGCTTATTGTCCTACCTACACTCAAGCTTTCCCTCAAGATTACTCTCAATGAAAGAGTTTAATAAAAAAATCTGCAAATGGTATGTACCCTGCTTCCACAAAGATGGCACTGCGAAGAGTATAAAATAGCAGTGTGCGCAAGGACGCTTCAGTCCGGTCCCCTGAGCGCACACTACAAACCCAGAGGACGCGTAGAAACCATCCAGAGGCCGCTGCGGTCGAGGCCTCCGAGCCCAGCGAGCGCCCGAGGGCTCCACGCGTCGTCCGCGTCTCCCTTTGGATTGATTGACTAGAGATTCCGGGCGCGTCAACTGCTAAGGTCGTTAGTCACGTAAGTGTAGTACATGCATTTATCGCAGGAGGTGGTTGTGATCTTCCCCCCTTGATGGCGAGATCATACGACGATAGTAGATCCTACGTAGGCTTGCGGGGATTTTACCCAACTAGGTATCTCCCACCAGAGTGGCACCGTCCCTGCGGGGATACCCTATTAAGTTTCCGGCTAGCCTCTTGACAAGTGTAGTAGAGTAGTCCATGCGAGAGTGTGCACGTGTGTGTATGAAAGTAAGAGGTGATAGGACAAGTAAGAGGAAGGAAAGATCGCAGGATTTACCTGATGTTGATCGGAGAAATCACGGAAAACTAGCGATCTGTTAGCGATCTAGTTAGCGAACTAACGAGCAGCTGGCCGCTATAATTCTCCTCCAGACAGCGACTGAATTGGACCTAACTATCTACTTAGTGTGGAAAATCCTGCTGTTGGTATTCGAACCGTAGGACCTCCCAGTTATAAGTACTGCAGAAACATGTATTCCTTTGGAGCCTCACTCAGTGATATGCACTGAAGTTTCTCTGGTCCTAACTTACAAAGATGCCATCAATTTTTGTTACCAATGGGTGCTTTTCGATGGGTGGTACGTTTGTTTTTCTGATGTAAGGATAAATATCGAGGTAAACATTGAGATAAAAATCGGATCTGATATGTTATTGAAATTGTTTGATGCTGTTGATCTAGTTACTTGTAAAGTTGAGTTCTCAATTTGTTTTACCAAGAGTGTGATATGAATTGACACTACTGAATTAGATAAAGAACATATTTTAGTGAATCTGTAGAAACATAGCAAGAGTACATCGGTAAAAGTACATTGTTCTCTTGTCGACGATGCCAGTCTGGAAGATTTGCGCCTCTGTTTGTGCGACAACAATCCAGAATTCTTGGACTAGAAGCTCGTATTTTCGGGACGGCTCATGCTGTCATGAAGGGATGTGCTGTGATGGAAAATGATGTTTCCTTTGATATATCAAATTTGGGGTGCAATGATATGATGTTCTTCTATTTGTTTTCATATTTTAGTACAATAGCACTAGCGTTTAAACCGAACACAAGTTCTTTCCCAAAATTTATATTCCTCAATCGATGTGGCCGATCTCTTTAATTGGAAACGATTATTTTAATTTTCGGCGTACTTTTCGAAGCCGCCAAGAGAGTTTTTAAAATTTTCCCAAAAATGGCTCAAAATTCTTCTATAATTATTTTGCCCGAACAAAGAGTGTACCACTATATGCGTATTTGCAGGTCATATTTTCTTTGAAATGTCTGAATTATGGAACATTGTAAACATTTACTTTTTTTCAACTATCCCAACCCAATCATACGGGAGAGAGAGATATTTTTCTTAAAGATATCTGTTCTTCAAAATTATATTTTTATATAAGATATTGTACAATGTTTTGAAAATAATTTCCTGTTTTCACGTAATTTGTAGTTAAAACATGGTAGTTTTCACGTAATTTGTACGTAAACAAGATTTTCTTATTTTCTCCTTCGCTTAATCTGTTGAAGAGACGCACACGCCAACATACACAAACACATTTGCCAACATATTCTCTCTCTCTCTCACCCTCCTCTCTCTCACCCTCCTCTCTCTCTCCCTCCTCTCTCTCTCCCTCCTCTCTCTCTCCCTCCTCTCTCTCCCTCCTCTCTCTCTCCCTTCTCTCCCTCCCTCCTCTCTCTCTCCCTCCACTCTCTCTCTCCCTCCACTCTCTCTCTCCCTCCTCTCTCTCTCCCTCCTCTCTCTCTCCCTCCTCTCTCTCTCCCTTCTCTCTCTCTCCCTCCTCTCTCGTTCGCTTCCCCCCTCTCTCTCTCTTACATACACACGCACACCACACATATCCTGTTTGGCGCTGCAATCCGCGTTCGGAGCGTTGTCGAAAAGCAGTGTTGCGCTTCGCGTCCGGGGCAGGACAGGGCGGGGCGGGGCGGCAAAGTGGGCCAGTGGGACAAGCCTTTATGTAACGCTGCGCCCGCCCCTTATGTAATGCAGCCCGCCTCGCGCCTCCCCGACACTGGAATACTTGCGCAGTCGCGCGGGGCGGGGCGGGGCGGGGCGGGGCGCGAATCACCGACTCCCATTCCTTCATCTCGAAACGCTCTTTGTCCGCTGAGGTTGCTCAAATCCGCATTAAACAGTGCGTGGTATAATAGAAATTGCCTGCTTGTGGTCAAGTACGGTATTGTTATTATAGATAGGGGCGGGTCCATAAAATAAATTGGGGGGAGGGAGACAATTTCTGTTCGGACGCCCCATAATTTTTTGAAGTAATTCTTTTAAATAGTTATCTTGAAATAAAAATGTACGAATATCATAATGGGAATAGTAGTTTAGAAGTGATGAGGTATATGGTATTTATTTTGACGAAATGAGTAAAATTACTAAGAAACTGTTGTCTTTGGGGAAGGTGCAAGAACCCCCCGGTACACCTGAATCCGCCGCAGTTACAATTACTTACATTTTTGGTATATTATTTAAAAGCATTATTAGGACAATCATATACGATTTAAATTTTGATGATGATGATGATGATTATTATTATTATTATTATTATTATTATTATTATTATTATTATTATTATTATTGTTGTTGTTGTTATAACAATAACAACAACGACAAAACAATAACATTTTAAATCGTATATGATGAGTTGGGTCGTCTTGGTCCTAATAATGCTTTTAAATAATGTACAAAAAATCAAGTATAACTGGTAGTTCATGAGATAAATTGTTTTGTGTGTAATCGTTTGCTTTGAGTTGCGAAACTGAAAAATACCAGAATATTCTTACGGGAAGATTTCTTTAAACAACAACTGTGAAAGATTCATCTATCTAGGCAATTATCGGGTGTTAAAAGATTAAAAATCCAATTAAAGTTACTTGGGCTTTTGTCCAAGACATAAAAAACTGGCATTTTTCGCAAGAAAACCGGGCGTTGGACTAGACAGAAACAATGCTCGGAAGGATTCAAATTTTTCAACAGAAATACTTTTTATTCCCAGACACTCAATTCATACAATAAGCTTAGGAAATATTGTTAAGTACGATTTATAAGACGCAATTGAAACTCCTCGGGAAATTGCAACTGCTGGGCCATCCCAATGAGTTCATCAAACAGATTAAAGATGAAACGAGTTGCATTTTGTATATTAGGCTAGGAAAAAATCAGAAACTGTCCATGCAACCGTCACCACTCTGCGTGTCTCGAGAACGGTGCGCAGTAGATCCCCAAAGGAACCCCGAGTTGTTTATCTATCCTCTAATCTATAAAATTAGTTGCTCGCCCTGATGGAAGCCCAGGGATCTTCACCCTCTCTCAAAAGCCAATGAATAATATTTTATAAAGTCAGCCTTTAGTAACGAAAATAATTCAATATGTCATTTGTTTGCGGTATAAATATAAACAATAAATGAACAAATAAAAATACATTTTTCATTGAGCATAAATGAAAAATTCTA